GCTAGGCATAAGGTAATAAAAATAGGAACAGTATTTTGTAAAATAAGAATTTTAACCAGTTCTCTTATGAACACCGAAACACAATTTAATTAATCACAAATCAGTTGCAGGTTCTTCTGTCACTGTTTCAAATTGCTCCATGTATTCTACGTCTCCTTCCCTTTGTAATATCAACTTCTCTGATTTCGGTAATACATTAATTCCAACCAACTTAGGTACCGCGCGCGTATTGATTCATTCTTCCTCCTTTCCGACACTAGATCCTCTCCATATGCTCCTGTAAAAATTAAAAACGGTTTTACAATTACAATGAGAGAGTACTGAAAGAATAAAGTCTCTGTTATCGACGTACTTACAGATGTTCATTCATTATTGCTTCTTCCCGACACTGAATCCTGTGCATATGCTCCTGTAACAATTAAAAACGGTTTTACGATTATAATGAGAGAGTACTGAAAGAATAAATTCTCTGTTATCGACGTACTTACAGGTGTTGATTCATTATTGCTCCTTCCCGACACTGAATCCTCTCCATATGCTACTGTAAGAATTAAAATTGGTCCTACAATTGTACATGTAAAGCCTTAGAGCATAAGCTACGTTCACATCTTCATTATGCATTTGTTTTCGAAATTATTCAGCATATATATAATCCTTTCAAAGTAAGCCCTTTGGTAAGTAACCTAGCGATCATCTTTCGATTTCTTCTTCTCTATGTGCTTTTCCATTTATATATATGTTCCTAAAAATATAATTTAACACGTCATGTTATGCACTTCATAATTATTGTTTTGAAAAATCATTACTTCATTACGATTGTCTCATGAAATATCATGACGGCACTGACAATTCACATATTCAACATCCATCCATCCATGTTTCAGGCGAATCAGACGAATAAGCATGTTCAATATCAGGCGGGACGGCGGGACCGCACTGAGGGCACCACTTGTGGGCTCAAACAGAGCTGTTTTCCCCTCATGCCTGTAGGAGCCTTTCCCCTCGCCCATAATCCCACTTTAGGCATCGTCTTTTAAGTCCATGTGAACGGTAAACATCGTTAGATGTACCTGTATAAAAATGTCAGATGAAACAAAGACGGTTCTTAAGGAAGCTCGCGAAGCTTTTAAAGAGAGCAGATATGTGGACGTAATGAAGAAATGTAAAAAGATATTGAAGAAAGATCAGAACAATTATAGCGCGATGGTACTGTTAGCTGCTGCGATGAAAGAGGTCGAGGAATACAAATCGCAAGTGCCAGTAATTCTTCAAAGGGCTATACAAATTCAAGAAAATAATCCGTTAGCCTGGCAAGGCTTGACTTTTTATTATGAGAAGAATCTGGAGAGCGATCATGATTTTTACAATAAATTGATATTAGCTTATTGTAAACTTTTACATCTGGGAAGGTAATACATATTTTGTATCTTGTACGTCGCGCATAATCATTTAATAATTTGTTTGCAGCGAGACGAAATTTACATACATTTTGAACAGAATCTCCGAGCTTTGTTTGCAACTTAAGGACGTTGCAGTTTTACTCGAATGCATTGAACAATTGATCGATTTACGAGAGAAGTTGGACGATGATAGAGTCAAAATAGTCAATAGAACTCTTGTATTCATACTAATAGACAATTTTACTCGTACAGACAAATATCAAGATTTATTGGAGACCTTTGTTCACTCTGCGAATAATCTCGGTTTTAATCCAACCAGTCTCCAAAATTTTTATAGAAAATATTTAAAGATATTGTGTGATAAAGATGACTTGGATGTTTTAATTAGAGAAGCTGTAAATATTCATGGACAATTTCCACAAGACACAGTGTCATTGGGTAAGAATCCGTATTATCTATATAAATACTCGGCATTACTTACGTCGGCTTTATTTACAGAACATATATGTTATGCTTACTGTAAACAAAGCATATTGGATCAGACTCTCACAGACATCGATATAGCTCGATTTTACGATTCCCTTTTGAAACTGAATAAAGAATGTGACATTGCCGCAGTCGCGAAAGCGTTGCACTTGAAGAACTCGGGCGATCTGGTAAGAGCGCGAGAGACACTGAAAGATACGCTCACGTTAAAACCAAAATCGTTGTACGGTTGGATGGCATTGAGCGAAATAAGTGGGAAACTGTATTGTTGGGAAGATGTGGAAATCAGCTCCAAGCGAGCATTAGAGATTAGGGAGAATAAAACAAAGGACAAACTGTGGTACAAGATGGAATTCCTGTTGATCGAGGCGATGAGTAGAAGCAGCGATCGTTCAAAATGGGAGTCTGCTTTGCACATGTGTGAACAAGTAAGATGTGCATACATGTATGTCATGAAACATGGTACAACTGGGTATATATATATATTTATGTCTTATACTTAGCACTTGGAGACGCAGCCATCGGCAGAATTGGAACTGATCCGGGCGCGTATCAAAATATTATTAAATCAATCATACGCTATATCTGATGCGTTAAATGCTTTGGAATCGCAGCGTGAGACTATTGTCCAGGCGAATATCCTGCGAGCGTTGTATTTAAAACAAAATAAACAATTCGACGAAGCGATCAACGTCCTCGATTCAGCTTTGGAGTCCTCCGAGGCATGGTTACTACTTGGTACAATTTATTGGGAAATGACAGAATATAATTATAGTTTAATGGCTTTCTTAAACGGGATCAAAGCTGATCGTTATAATTGGAAATGTCTAGTTTATTTAGGACATTATTATAGCAAATATGGTAATGATATGGAACGTTCCAGAAGATGTTACCAAACCGCGCTACAAATCAATCCAAACTCGGAAGAGGCCGGTATTGGTTTGAGCACAGCGTACAGAGTTCTTAAGAACCAAGTAAGCGCGAAACGTCCCCGGCCCCTTTCGTCTCCCAGTCTTTAATCGAGATCATCTCTAGGACGCCAACATAAAATTGTTACAAACATTAACCGCGCAGGACAGAGGTCCCAAATGGGCATGGTTGCAACTGGGCTTGCAGTATCTCGACCAAGATAACGCGGTACAAGCGATCAAGGCGTTCCAACACGTCATCAGAGCTGATCCCAATGACAAGTAATGTTCCACATAATATTTGTGCAAAAGAAATTAAAGCTCGGCGAAGGAGGGCGAAGGTATCTTCCTCGTTCTATTTCACAAATGATTAATCATTTCCAGTCACTGTTGGGAGTCTTTGGCGGACGCATATTTGGTTCGTGGCGCGCATATATCGGCATTGAAATCTTATCAACGAGTATTAGAATTATGCCCGAATTCATTGTATCCGATGATACAACTGGCAAACATAAAACTGGTCAGTGTCAATTACTGTTAGCATAATTCTTCAATCATTCGCCGATTCTTTTTGTAGATCGTCGGCCAATACGATGAAGCGAAAAAGGACTTTGAAAGCATATTGTCAACCGAGCCTGGATACATCCCCGCCTTGAAAGGATTAGCTGAAACGTGTTTGGCGTTGGCGAAAGTGTACACTAACAGGAAACTCTTGGGACGAGCCAACGACTATTTACAGCAAGCGATAAACAGTTTAACGGCGGCTATTAAAGAACGTAAAGATATATCCTGTATTTGGAAATTACTCGGCGACGTGTGTTACAGAGGCGCGACGCTGCCAGAGAAATACAGTCACCTGAATGTGTCGTCTACTCTGATAAAATACAAAGACACCGAAAGTATCGCGTTGCTCAAAAGACAAGACATGTTTTCACTGGCCACGAGGTGAGGACATTTCGTTGAATTTATTGATTTAATTCTGATTCGATCCTGTCGATCGTAGGTTTTATTGTTGCGCGCTGTCTCTCTCCCCGCAATCGGCTTTACTCTGGCACGATTTGGCTCTGTGTTATCTGATACAGCTACGACATCGGCCGGCGAACGAGAAGAATCTGGCTGGTAAATGTCTGGCCGCTGTGAAGCACGCGGTCAAATTAAATCCCTCGGCATGGTCGCACTGGAACCTTCTGGGTGTCATCTGTATGTCACCTTGTATAAAAAACTATGCGTTAGCGCAACACGCTTACATCATGGCGATCGATAGAGAATTGAACAACGCCGTGGTCTGGTCCAACTTGGGAACTTTGTATCTGAATATAGGTATATAAAAACGAGCAAATCTTCGTTGAACGAAATCAAAATCTGACTGTTGTGTATGATAGGAAAATGGAAGAAAGCGAACGAGGCGTACTCTCAAGCTCAACGCGCGTATCCGGCGTACGTGAACAGTTGGGTAGGGCAAGCGTTCATAGCCGAGATGATATCTCGAAAAGAGGCGATGGATTTGTTCAGACACGCGATGCAATTAGGATATCATGACCAGGCGGCCATAGGGTATGCTCATTGGGTGTTGAATACGATTTTGCACGTTCGTGGCAACATGGAAGCTTTGGACGTCTATATAATTGAAAATATGCACGCTGTAATGGTCGCTGCCGATGCTATGACATGGTACATAGGTGAGTCTACAGAGTTGCATAGATATTTTTACATCTCGTTGTACCGATCACGTATTATTAATGATAGAACACCATCCGGATGATCGTTGCGCTCGAAACGCGTATGGATTGCTGTTAGAAAGGCAGAGACTCCACAGATCAGCTGCGGAGCAATTCGCGGCCGCTGTGTGTAACAGTAATAAGGAGGCGAACGACTTGGTATGCGTAAACTTGGCGCGTGTACTGATACGACTAAAGAAATATAACGAAGCTATAAAATTATGTCAAGCAGTTACGAATGCCACATACAATTCTCAGTGCCACTTGGCATTAGCGCTGTTCAAAGGTAAACATTCTTATACGATCGAAATCATTGAAGCGACGTTGAATTTGTTGTTCCTGGTTTGATCTCAGCTGAAAAATATGAAGAATCGTACAGTACGTATGAAACCGCGCTGCATTCGTTCGCGAATACTGAAACCGAGAGGGCTTACACACTGTGCGCGATGGCTGCGATAGCGCATACGTTTGAGAGAGTGAACGATGCGAAAACTTTGCTTTTCCAATGCATACAAATACAACCTCCGGTTATAATAGGTTTACTGTCAGCTGCATCGTTAGGAATATTGCACGGGGACGTAAATCTAGCTACATTGATACTGAAAGAATTAAAGTCGTACGAGAATCATCCTGAACACGGTCATCACGTTGTCAATTTATCTGCATACTTTTATCTGATTGGAAATAACATTAAAACTGCGATTGCTGTACTCTCAAAAGCAATTTTCATGTATCCTGGTAAGTAATATAATAATTGCGACCGATCACGCTCTAATAAAATTGTTATACGAAGAACATGTTAACTTCTGTTTACAGGTGACGTAAAATATTGGATACGATTACTTAGAATTTTACTAGAGACGGACATGGAAATGTTTAATAAATGTGCACGGAAGACGTTGTTCCTTAGCAGAAGCGTAGCTAGTGAAAATGTTGCCCATGTGGCGTGTGCATTGTCGCTCAGTAACTTTATGCAAAATTATTCCTACACGACGTGCGTCAGATCCGTGCAGAAACTTCTATTCACTTATCCTGGTGATATCGAAAGTTGGATTACATTCATAGCTGCGTTCCTATCAAGGTCTGTGAACAAACATTCTCTGTTTTAATAACATTTTTTCGGGTTCAGTTGAATATATTTGAAACGAATCACAGGTCCCGAAACGAAAGCAGTCATTTTAACAGTAAGTGGCTTCTGAAGCTTATTACTATCACGCAACGGAATCACCAGCCCACGAATGAAATGGCTAGATGGTTACACAGCAGCAAGACGAAATTGGAACTCCTACATTAAATAATAAAACGTGAAATCCGAATAGACTAAAGACAGTATGTTGGAAAGTTATTTCTTTCCAATCCTAGATTAGTAATTTTATATGAATAAATACAAAAATTATACAAATTATGTAAAATAATCGATTACTACGGAAACAATAAATTCAGTAAAATAATCATGAAAATTTTATATGAATATTAAATGAAATTATCGCTTCCTATAATTAATTGCCGCCCTCGTAGAAATTTTTCCATTAATTTTTTATCCAAAATTTTTGCTGAAATTAGGACAGAACACGATCCGGTTGAAATTGAAATTTTTTTCAACGATCGATTGGGGGTGGAAGAACGGCGCACGCTCGCGCTGCGTCAGCAGCAACCCTATTATTTCAAGTACTAATACAATACAAACTAAATATGTAGTTCATTTTTTGGAACGCTCCTCTTTATGTGATATTTTACAGTGTTCGCGTAGGAATACGTACGAAGAGGGATCATCAAACATGTTTGACAATGTGAGTATACAAGCAAGAATCTCTCGGAAAAATAATTTATCGTCAGTATATTTCATATCTTTTCATTGATTCTTCTGTATATCCAGTTTGTTTATTAACGAGATCAAACACCCTTTCAGAAAGGATCGCTGTTGCACCTGTTACTTCTGTTAATTTTATGCACAGAGGTTTACACGACGAGTGCAAAGCATCTTATTAAAAAGAGGAATTACAGTGATCAAAGCGTGAGGGGTTACTTGGCAGAGGTAAATAAGTAGAAACGTATCGAGGAGGGGAATATATGTGAATCCATTATTAACGTTAGTATGCAAACACTAGCGGACCTGTTGGTGGAACGAGGTTTGTAAAGAGGAGTTCCACAGCAAATTCCGATGCCGTTGCCCGAGGTGGTCTTACTGCCGTGCTCCCGGTAGATATTACAATGCGCACTGTAGCATGACACGCACCGGTTACATTTGGACCCAACCGGAAACGTCGCTGACCCTCGAAGTTAATAAATGAACGAAATGATCGTAAACGCGACGTTCGTACAACTTATAGAATTCCATATGCATATAAACTGATTAATTACTTGCATTTTCGCGATTGCATGCACATATCGTTTGCATGACCATATAGGGTACAATCAGATACAATTTATTATCGAGGATTAAACGATAATTACGTTCGGTGTAAGGAGAAACGAAGTGTTCATAAAACTTATTATAGGTAGCCTAAAGTAAATTTGTTATCTCTTTATCGATGTCACAGGGTAATTTTAACTATTCGAAGTGCTACAACGTATATAATTCTGTTTTGTATTCATTGATTAACTTATTTATACAAAGATAATGTATTCAAAAATATTTTCACTATATAATCGTTATATAAATGGGCCTACGAATAATATATAAAATGGAACGAGTACGAAGTTGTTATTTATTGCGGAAACCCTGTTGAAAATCGGCTTACAGCCGACCATATATTTTATACAAAAGAAATTTATTAAAAAAGTCAGGCACAAAGTGGATTTATATAACAGAACGTAATGTAGTATGTACATGTGTTAAAAGAATAAAAAAGGCACTATCGTAATCTTAACGCCATGGCTTTCGCACAGTCCCAGCGCTGGTGCTCCTTTTAATACTATGATCTACAATTTACAATTCCATAAGGACCTATCGGATAAATTGTGTAACAGGAGTAACTTACGTACTTAAAACGTGCGAAGAGATAAGTCTCTCCTTGATATCCGAGGTCCAAGTTTGACACCTAGACCTACTAGACAAACACGGACGAACAAACGAAGTTGGGTGACATTCTTCCATCCTAACGTAAAAAAAGAAACAAAACCGATAAGTCAACGCATGCGATTACAAAATCATACTACGAAAAAGCAGCCTTAAAGCGTAACAAAACGTTGATACACATTAAAATCACTTGATGCGTTACAGCAATTTACTAAAAATTTATTTTTTTGCTGTTTAATAACACAATATTCTACAGACATTGAAAGCACAAACAAGAAAAAGCTCGCTATGCAGAGTCGTACTCTTTCAATTTTTTCCTGGCCAAAGTCCGTTGGGTCGCGAACGAATATGATCTTGCGGACGTCGGACGTTCTGCACGGGACTGTTTTATTTCACGGTCTTGCGCTATTATTCGCATTCTTTTCTGGGGACTCTGGGCAAACAACTCCGCCAAATTCATAGAAGCCGCATCGCACTTGTAGAAATGACAAAATTTTTAATCAGAGTCAATAAACGACAGGAATGTTCTAAGGTAAATATGCTCTCGTTTACGGGAATAGCTTAAGTGTATTTCTATAATCCTTGAGACCGTTACCTGCAATTGAAGACGGTGTAATAAATTAAATTCTGATCTATTAAGAGGCGCGTCGACGTGAAGTTTAAGCATACAATGTAGAGCCTCTTTGTACGTATTCTTCAAACCGATCACCCGCTCAGTTCGCATCAATCTACGTACTAAGTAGCCTCTCGCGTATGCGTTTATTGTATTTGCCGCTTTGATCTGTAACAAAATGAGAGATGTCATTTCTGTTGATCAAAATAAATGTGTAAATTGCGAGTATTTTAATTTCGTACGTGTTTCATGCTGTATATCGTTCTATCTAGGATCGGTACACGGATAGTTTCCAGAGGAAATAATTCTCGGCTGACATTCGAACGCTTACACTGGCCGCTTTCCTCCGACAATTTTACCTCGGAGGTCTTTGTACTACTTTGTTCAGCATCTTCTTTTCCTGTCCTTGGCGGAGAATAATTAACGTTTAATGGCAGTTCCATTTCTGAGCGAGCATTGTGCGAATATTTAATTGAACATGGAGCGCTATTACAATTTATTTCGGGATAAATATAATCTAACGGGCACGGAATGGTTTTCGTATTATCTTGCGAATAGTTTGCTTCGTTGTTCTGTTCGAGATTATTATTCGATTTTTCTACACTGTTATCACTGTTGTCCGAAAGTTTCTCAGCGTCGGTGACTCGATCGAGATTAGGAGACGGAACATTTTCGGACGTAAACGAAACGGATACTTCTGGGAAGGATTTTCTGATCTCGTTCAATAAAAGTAATTGCTGTTTCTCGAATTCCTTTTGAAGTAACGTTTGCTCTCTCTGCTGCCGATACATCAGCTCGGCCATTTGCTTCTTATGCATCTCTTGCACCTTTCTGTAAACTACCAGCAGCTTGTCAGACGCAATGGAAGACTTCAACTTTGACACAGAATCTCGTAATTCTACGTTTCCCGATGGCTTCTCTCTTACGCCCTTATTATTCTCGCCTAAGTCGTCTAAGGAACCTCCGAGTTTACATACTGAATTAACAGGGGAAGAACTATTGCATTTATTCCATATGTGACGTTTTTGTTTCTTGTCGTCGTTATTATCTGTATGCTTTTTATTTCGACTAATGTGCGTGCAACTTTTATTCGCAGTCTCTTGAACCAACATGGTTCGAATGCAGTCGGCCGACTTAGTAGAATACATTACGAGCGGTTCAGATTTTGTCTGTAAAGAAAGTGATTTAGACATCACACGACCAATGTGCATGTGAGAACTCCCATGATTCGTCGTTGGAGATTTGAGAGACTCTATGGAATCAGACATTTTGTTTTTGCCTTCGTATTCCCAATCGATCTTAGCTTGCGCGACGTTCCATTCCTTCCGTCGATTCGTCGTCTTTGCTTGAGACGTTGGAATATATTCCGAGCAAGGAGGAGGAGAAGATGAGCCAGCGACTTGCATTTGCATGTGCGCTAATAATATAGGACTCGGAGTCTCCAAAACGTAGGAACCTTGACGCGTCAGTTTCGGAGTATCTTCAAAATCCTCCTGGTATTCCTTGCTTCCTTTGCAATTAGAATCGTTCAACGTCAGTGGAACGATGTCTAACGTTCTAGGCACTTGTGGTTTCCAAATCTCAGTAGATTTCGCGGAAGATGTGTCGTTCGAATGATCTGTATTAACGCTAGAATCTATTGACTCCGATCTCGAGGCTAAATTTATCCGATCTTCGAATTTTTGCTTCGTACTCGAATCATCTAGATTTCCATTAGAATTCTTGAATGTTTCTATTCGAACATCGTTCAGACTAGCATTTTCGTAATTGAAAGGAACCAAATTCTCTTTTGAACTATCAACTCTTTTTCTACATTTTAAATCTTTTATATTATTCCTAGTTTTTCCGATATTAGTATTGCTATCAGCAGTACGCAAAGCAGTTAATTTCTTTTCTATATTTATTGCATTTTCCTTATACCTGGAAATTTCTCGTTTCACATCCTCGGTGATCTGAAACATATAATAGCTGTTTATCATGGAATATAAGAATATTACAATTAACATTCTCATACCATGGGTGGTAAAATAGGAACTCCGTTTATTTTGATGCACGAAACGTATGATCGATCTTCCATATTTCTAACTTGTTAAATAGACTGGCTAGAAAATGATACAGTAAAAACACGTTTAATGAACAGAGGTATTAATTGAAAAACTTATTTTTCCTGGCAGCGGTCCTTGTTTAAGGTGGATAAAAAATAAACCGTCTCTTTGTACACCAATCAGGAATAATATTATTACCGGGCATACCGTTCGTGTAAACAAAATAATTAAACGACAGTTACACAGTAATCTGAAAAAAAATATTAAGTAAAGCATTTCAGGAATTGCAAACTCGTAAGTATATATATAGCCTGCGGATTTTTATGCATATCAGTTTCAAAGATGCGTTTTAAAATTTTCTTTTATTATTCTCTACTTTCCTGTGTTTCAATTTTTTTTATAAACGCACAAAATCCGTAGTCTACTGAGAAATATTACTTTGTTCACATGTATGAATCAATTTGTTTAAAACATATCATTGAAAAACGGAGTGGTAAAAGTTTACGTTATTCGTGCAGAATTAGATCAGCTTAAATACCTATTGTGCGTCTGGCATGTGTTTAATTGACTCCCGTTGAGTACTTACGTACAAAATCTTCGTTAATCGTTTACCAAACTTTTCGTTACGAGACATCAAAGTAAATAGCAAATAGCTACTGTTTTCCTTGGTAGTACTCGAACACATAGATAGGTGGATACGAATACCAGAGTTTCTCTCTGCGAATACGAATGTGCACGCGGTGTAATGCTGTGGTGTACTTAACCCTTTCGCTACGGCAGTCCGTTCCGCGGGATCACTTTATATTTCTTTTTTTTTATTTTTTTTTTTAGATACTTTATATTATAATCCTTGTTTTCTATTATAGTTTTGTGCCTTACAAATACTTGTATTGTATTGTTAATTTACCATCCAATAGAAAAAAATTGAAGATTCTTATTTCGTATGTAAAATATGCAGGATTTAGTTCAGTACGAGCTAT